ATGATGCTGTGAAAGTGCTGCACTCAATATGCCAGCAACTTTGGAAAACTCAGCAGTGGCCACAAGACTAGAAAAGGTCAGTTTTCATTCTAATCCCAAAGAATGCTCAAACTACCACACAATTGCACTCATCTCACACGCTAGCAAAGTTATGCTCAAAACTCTCCAAGCCAGGCATCAGCAATACCCGAACAATGAACTTCCAGATGTTCAAGCTGGTTTTAGAAATGGCAGAGAAACCAGAGATCAAAGTGCCAACATCCACTGGATCATCAAAAAAGCAAGAGAGTTCCAGGAAAACATCTATTTCTGCTTTATTGACTATGACAAAGCCTTTGACTGTGTGGATCACAATAAATTGTGGAAAATTCTGAAAGAGATGGGAATACCAGACCACCTGACCTGCCTCTTGAGAAATCTGTATGCAGGTCAGGAAGCACCAGTTAGAACTGGACATGGAACAACAGACTGGTTCCAAATAAGGAAAGGAGTATGTCAAGACTGTATATTGTGACTGTGGCTTTGTAGTATAGTCTGAAGTCAGGCAGATTGATTCCTCCAGTTCCATTCTTCTTTCTCAGGATTACTTTGGCTATTCGAGGTTTTTTGTATTTCCATACAAATTGTGAAATTATTCGTTCTAGTTCTGTGAAAAATATCATTGGTAGTTTGATAGGGATTGCATTGAATCTGTAGATTGCTTTGGGTAGTATAGCCATTTTGACAATATTGATTCTTCCAATCCATGAACACGGTATATTTCTCCATCTGTTTGTGTCCTCTTTGATTTCTTTCATCAGTGTTTTATAGTTTTCTATGTATAGGTCTTTTGTTTCTTTAGGTAGATATACTCCTAAGTATTTTATTCTTTTTGTTGCAATGGTGAATGGTATTGTTTCCTTAATTTCTCTTTCTGTTTTCTCATTGTTAGTGTATAGGAATGCAAGAGATTTCTGTGTGTTAATTTTATATCCTGCAACTTTACTGTATTCGTTGATTATCTCTAGTAATTTTCTGGTAGTCTTTAGGATTTTCTATGTAGAGGATCATGTCATCTGCAAACAGCGAGAGTTTCACTTCTTCTTTTCCTATCTGGATTCCTTTTACTTCTTTTTCTGCTCTGATTGCTGTGGCCAAAACTTCCAAAACTATGTTGAATAGTAGTGGTGAGAGTGGGCACCCTTGTCTTGTTCCTGATTTCAGGGGAAATGCTTTCAGTTTTTCACCATTGAGGGTGATGCTTGCTGTGAGTTTGTCATATATAGCTTTTATTATGTTGAGGTATGTTCCTTCTATTCCTGCCACAGTCATCAAGACAGTATGGTACTGGCACAAAGACAGAAATATAGATCAATGGAACAGAATAGAAAGCCCAGAGATAAATCCACGAACCTATGGTCACCTTATCTTTGACAAAGGAGGCAAGGATATACAATGGAAAAAAGACAACCTCTTTAACAAGTGGTGCTGGGAAAACTGGTCAACCACCTGTAAAAGAATGAAACTAGAACACTTTCTAACACCATACACAAAAATAAACTCAAGATGGATTAAATATCTAAATGTAAGACCAGAAACTATAAAACTCCTAGAGGAGAACATAGGCAAAACACTCTCTGACATAAATCACAGCAGGATCCTCTATGACCCACATCCCAGAATTTTAGAAATAAAAGCAAAAATAAACAAATGGGACCTAATGAAACTTAAAAGCTTTTGCACAGCAAAGGAAACTATAAGCAAGGTGAAAAGACAGCCCTCAGATTGGGAGAAAATAATAGCAAACGAAGCAACAGACAAAGGATTAATCTCAAAAATATACAAGCAACTCCTCCAGCTCAACTCCAGAAAAATAAATGACCCAATCAAAAAATGGGCCAAAGAACTGAACAGACATTTCTCCAAGGAAGACATACAGATGGCTAACAAACACATGAAAAGATGCTCAACATCACTCATTATCAGAGAAATGCAAATCAAAACCACAATGAGGTACCATTACACACCAGTCAGGATGGCTGCTATCCAAAAGTCTACAAGCAATAAATGCTGGAGAGGGTGTGGAGAAAAGGGAACCCTCTTACACTGTTGGTGGGAATGCAAATTAGTACAGCCACTATGGAAAACAGTGTGGAGATTTCTTAAAAAGCTGGAAATAGAACTGCCATATGACCCAGCAATCCCACTTCTGGGCATACACACTGAGGAAACCAGATCTGAAAGAGACACGTGTACCCCAATGTTCATCGCAGCACTGTTTATAATAGCCAGGACATGGAAGCAACCTAGATGCCCATCAGCAGATGAATGGATGAGGAAGCTGTGGTACATATACAGCATGGAATATTACTCAGCCATTAAAAAGAATTCATTTGAATCAGTTCTAATGAGATGGATGAAACTGGAGCCCATTATACAGAGCGAAGTAAGCCAGAAAGATAAAGACCATTACAGTATACTAACACATATATATGGAATTTAGAAAGATGGTAACGATAACCCTATGTGCAAAACAGAAAAAGAGACTCCTATGTATAGAACAGACTTGTGGACTCTGGGAGAAGGCGAGGGTGGGATGTTTCAAGAGAACAGCATTGAAACACGTATATTATCTAGGGTGAAACAGTTCACCAGCCCAGGTTGGGTGCATGAGACAAGTGCTCGGGCCTGGTGCACTGGGAAGACCCAGAGGGATTGGGTGGAGAGGGAGGTGGGAGGGGGGACCGGGATGGGGAATACATGTAAAAAAAAAAAAAAAGATACACTATGGTTGTGATAAAAATAAATAAATAAATAAATTAATTAAAAAAAAAAAAGACTGTATATTGTCACCCTGCTTATTTAACTTCTATGCAGGGTACATCATGAGAAACGCTGGGCTGGAGGAAGCACAAGCTGGAATCAAGATTGCCGGGAGAAATATCAATAATCTCAGATATGCAGATGATACCACCCTTATGGCAGAGTGTGAAGAGGAACTAAAGAGCCTCTTGATGAAAGTGAAAGAGGAGAGTGAAAAAGTTGGCTTAAAGCTCAAAATTCAGAAAACTAAGATCACGGCATCTGGTCCCATCACTTCATGGCAAGTACATGGGGAAACAGTGGAAACAGTGGCTGACTTTAATTTTTGGGCTCCAGAATCACTGCAGATGGTGATTGCAGCCATGAAATTAAAAGACGCTTACTCCTTGGAAGGAAAGTTATAACCAACCTAGACAGCATATTAGGAAACAGAGACATTTCTTTGTCAACAAGAGTCCATCTAGTCATGGCTATGGTTTTTCTGGTGGTCATGTATGGATGTGAGAATTGGACTATAAAGAAAGCTGAGTGCCGAAGAATTGATGCTTTTGAACTGTGGTGTTAGAGAAGAAGAATTGATGCTTTTGAACTGTGGTGTTAGAGAAGACTCTTGAGAGTCCCTTGGACTGCAAGGAGATCCAGCCAGTCCATCCTGAAGGAGATCAGTCCTGGGTGTTCATTGGAGGGACTTATGCTGAAGCTGAAACTCCAGTACTTTGGCCACCTGATTCGAAAAGCTGACTCATTTGAAAAGACCCTGATGTTGGAAAAGATTGAGGGCAGGAGGAGAAGGGGATGACAGAGGATGAGATGGTTGGATGGTGTCACTGACTCAATGGACATGAGTTTGAATAAACACCAGGAGTTGGTGATGGACAGGGAGGCCTGGCGTACTGCAGTCCATGGGGTCGCAAAGAGTCGGACAAGACTAAGCCACTGAACTGAACTGAACTGATTAGGGAACTGTTTTTCTTTCCTCATTAGGATTCTTGATATTATTTAAAAATTATGCCCATTTGCACCTAGTTGTGGTTCTCTTCTGATTTTGCTCAGAGCACAACACACTTTCTCAGATTTCCCTTTTGTATTTTGATAAAATCAGAGAGACTACTGTCGTTGTCATCATAAGCAGACAGCCTCATATTCCATACATTTTGTTAGTTCTGTTTTGGTCTTTTCTTTTGGAACCCAGAGCACAGATCTCTTAAGTCTTCATTCCGTGTCTCTAAATTGATTTCATGTTATGGACTCCTTTTGCTATATTTTCAGAAACTTTTCACGTGTATCCCTTATGCGAGGGATGTGTTTCAGCTAGAGGGTCTCAGTTCCTCAGCGTCTCTGGTGTGGAACAGAATTCCACTTCTTCATTTTTAATTTCCTTGAACCTTTCCTAATCTCATCCATCTCTTCTAAGATAAATGAACTGCTCAGTGCCTTTTTTTTACTCATGACTTTCTGCCACTGTTTCAGAGAATGCCCCTTTTTGCATTTCCTTGTGGATGATAAACACATTCATGCAATTTCTCCTTGTTGTTGCACAAGTAATTTCCAGAGGGACCATCTTTGTGGCACCTGGAGGTCATTTTCCTTTTTTAGAGTTTTTGGAGATTAAACCAAGACCTTGTCAAAGTGAGTGGGGATGGTCCTTGACCAAGGTCTACAGACACTTCAGTGGGGTTTTATGAAGATCTTTGAGGGGTCAAGCGAGACCCAGATTGCTTATATTTTTCCAACTTCTGATATATTTAAAAAGGAAAAAGAAAATTGCAGTATAATATTTAAAATGTTGTGGCATATTCAACATATTCAGATTTAACAAATTACTACTTTTTAATATGTACACATGGAAAAATAACTGGATCTATAAACTTACTTAGAAAAATATCTAAATGTAGGCTTCCTTGTGAATTTTATGTAAATGTCCTTCCTAACATCCTTCATTGAGAGTTTCTTGGTCAAGTTCCTTTTTCAGGTTTATAGCTTGAGATAGCTAACATACTGGTCACAGTAATCACATGTATTTAACCTAATATATTCATTTTAACCTAACTGATCACTTCTTCCTGTATCTTGTACTCTTTCAGGCATCACTGATCGTTCCTGTTCAAATGTTTTACCCAACTCTGAGGTGAGGCAAAAGTGTCACCAGCTGGAGAACAAGACTTTTATTACTGGAGACTCTAGGCTGCAGGACATACTGTGAGAGAGCAACACGGGCTGGATCCGCAGGGCACACCAGCCTCTCTCCCTCCTCTGGTTCTTGAGAAGAAGCACGCACTTGCACCCCTTGATCAAGACCCTGTCGAGCAGCTCCAGCCTCGCAAGAACCAGAGACCATCCCCTGCCACCCGGCAGGGGGGCCTCACCTCTGCAGAAGGCTGGGGGTATTGGGGAATGAGAGGGATAGGCAAAGTGATTATCCTTGAATTTAAAAGCTTCCTGTACCCACAGTGCTTAAACCTCTGGTCATCAGAATGAATGAAACACTTGAAAGTAAGGAGAAAAAAACCTATCATCTCCAGAAAAGTCTAAGCACAGAGCTTCTTGTTAGTAACACAGTCTTTCTGGGAGATGGTTCCCTTCTGAGGGTACCTTCGCCTCAGCTACCTACACCTTCACCCCAAATTTCTTGCTCTGCTGTTTGCTGTGAACTCCCATCTATGAACAAATATAGAAAGGGGGCAGCGTTAGAGAACTGCCGCATCTGTTTTTGCAGCTAAGGTCGAGTCCGAGAACTTAAACGCGAGGACAGGGTGCTTCAGTGTCCCCACATCCTCAGTGCCCTTAGAGACACTGTACATATCCCACGGTGCGCTGTGGCTGAACTTTTCCTCAAAGCCTAGCACTAGTTTCTTTGAGTCCTAATGGTCACTTCTGGTTGTTACAATTTTCCCTATCTCTTCATGAATATGTTAATGGAATGATATTGATTCAGGTAAATTTGGTGCCAACTAAAATAAGAGTAAAAAGTGAACTATGCTTTTGAATTGTGCTGGAGAAGACCCTTGAGAGTCCCTTGGACTGCAAGGAGGTCAAACCAGTCCATCCTAAAGGCGATCAGTCCTGGGTGTTCACTGAAAGGACAGATGCTGAAGCTGAAACCCCAATACTTCGGTCACCTGATGCAAAGAATTGGCTCACTGGAAACGACCCTGATGCTGGGAAAGATTGAAGGCAGAAGGAGAAGAGGACAGCAGAGGAAGAGATGGTTAGACAGCATCACTGACTCAATGAACATGAATTTGAGAAAACTCCAGGAAATACTGAAGGATAGGAAAGCCTGGAGTGCTGCAGCCCATAGGGTCCCAAAGAGTCAGACACATCTTAGTGACTGAACAACAACAACAGCAAAAAAGAGCAACTTCTCTTTTTGTTTCTTTCAAAAAATGTAGACCATGAGACTTTCAAAGTGCTCTAGTTTCAGAGAGATAAAACTTTTATTGTTCTGTGAGCAGTTTACCTTCAATACATCACACCTAATTGAGTCAACAATGATACCTTGATATAAAAATATATTCTGTTTGGGGACAGACACATTTTTTTACATTTTATATCTTGTTTTTTGCCCTGATTTTCAGAAATTGGATGCATTGGAGTTATGCGTTTTTACTACATCAGAAGGAGAGGAAAACAAATGATGTTAGCTGGTTGGGGAAATCATGTTTGCTCAGTGGAAGAGAGATCTTAGGCAGAGTTTACAAGACTGAGCTTTGCTGATGCAAGAAGCTAAGCAGTGGGGCCGGAGTGCATGTTGCCATGTATGGTCCAGGCCTCACGGGCACACATGTCATTTTTCATCAGCTAATAGGTGACAGCTGCGTCATGCTTTTTACGATATATCCCACTGATGGCTTAAAAAGAATGACAGCATAATGAAAGAGTCACAAGCAACATTATGTCCCAATTAGCACATCTTCCTCTGATATCATCACAATGGAAGCCAAGGACAGATCTGAACCACACTGCTCCACTTTATTGTAGGAAATGTGGACCCTTCTCTATGCTTAAGTTTCTTATGGCATTTCTGGCTGCTGGCTGTGTTAGTCACTTAGTTGTGTCCGACTCTTTGTGACCCCATGGACTGTAGCCCACCAGGTTCCTTTGTCCACGGGATTCTCCAGGCAAGAATCCTGGAGTGGGTTGCCATGTCCTTCTCCAGGAGATCTTCCCAACCCAGGGACTGAAGCCTAGACTCTTGTATCTCGTGAATCGGCAGGTGGGCTCTTTACTACTGGTGCCACCTGGGCAATCCTTTGGTCTGATGGTGCCGTGCTGTGCTGTCCTTAGTCAATCACTCGTGTCCAACTCTCTGCAACCCCCGGGACGGCAGCCCTCCAGGCTCCTCTGTCCATGGGATTCTCCAGGCAAGAATCCTGGAGTGGGTTGCTACTTCCTCCTCCAGGGGATCTTCCCAACCCAGGGGTCAAACCCATATCTCCTGCATTTCAGCAGATTCTTTACTGTCTGAGCAACCAGGGAAGCCCCTTATAGCATTACTAACAAAAGTGTCACAAAACTTCTCAAAGTCTAATGTGAACCCAGATCACCTGGGGATCTTGCTAAAGTACAGATTCTGTTTTGGAGTGAGGCCTGAGATTCTGCATTCATATCAAGTTCCCAGGGCACTCAATCTGACTGGCCTACAAACCAAACTTTAAATGGCAAGGAGCTAAGATACATCTCCCATGCAAGTTTTAACACATATGTAATACTTTTAGGAAGGCCATGAGCAAGCCAGGTGGTTGGTAGCATCCTTTTTCAATGCAGCAGGAAGTAAAAGAAGCAGGATATTTTTGTTGTTGTTTCTTCTGATGTGTGTGCTTCCAATATTTTAAGTAATAACACTAAATGGATTTATAAATGTCATTGACCCCTCTTATTAAACATTGGTCTTAAAAATGGCAAAGGCAGGAGATAGTTACCAACATGTAAACTTTGCAGGAAGCCAGGGTAATAAATGATTAGCTTGTGAAGAGGCAGTAATTTAGAAAACCAATTGGGGCATTGAAGGAGGTACAATATTCAAACCCCCATCAATCACCCCCTAACTCCTCCAGTTTTAGCTCTCCCCTGAAAGAGGAGACCAAAGTTGAGGAACTCACTGAAGAAGCAGCAGGCTGCTGTGAGCCCAGACGGCCCCCTTTGTAATAGGTGAGACAAATCAGGCATATTTATGGTATTCCTCAAAAATGAGTCACATCTGGACTTTATTTCTCACGCCAATAGATCTGTGCATAGCCCACATTCTCTCTTCCTCATAAATCGTCTCTGTCCACAGCCTATGTCCCCAGGATCAAATTAAATGGAGATGCTCACTTCTGTGAAGAAAGTGGATCACAGCAACAGGATAGACCTAGGGAGTGTCAGACTGAGTGAAGTCAGAGAGAAAGTGAGAAATAACCTATGGCACGCCTTATAAGTGGAATCTAAAAAGAAAAAAAGAAAAGAAATGATACAAATCAACTTACTTACAAAACAGAAAGAGACTCAGGGACTTAGAGAGGAACTTACAGTTGCCAGAGGAAAGGGATGTCGCCGTTCAGTTGCCAGTTTGTGCCAGCTCTCCATGACCCCATGGACTGCAGCACACCAGATATCCTTGTCTCTCACCGTCTCCTAGGGTTTGCCCAAGTTCATGTTATTGAGTCGGTGATGCCACTCAACAGTCTCATCCTCTGTTGTCCCCTTCTCCTTCTTCCTTCAATCTTTCCCACCATCAGGGTCTTTTCCAATGAGCCAGCTCTTCGCATCAGGTGACCAAAGTATTGGAGTTTGGCTTCAGCATCAGCCCTTCCAGTGAATATTTAGAGTTGATTTCCTTTAAGATTGACTGGTTTGATCTCCCTGAATTCCAACGGACTCTCTCCTCCAGCACTGCAGTTTGAAAAGCATCAATTCTTCGGTGTTCCACCTTCTTTATGGCCCAGCTCTTGCAACCGTACATGACCACTGGAAAGACAGTAGCCTTGACCACATGGGCCTTTGTCGGCAAAGTGATGTCTTTGCTTTGTAACACACTGTCTAGGTTTGCCACGGCTTTCCTGCCAAGAAGCAATCATCTTTTAATTTTATGGCTACAGTCACCATCTGAGAGATTTTAGAGCCAAGAAGGGAAATCTGTCACTGCTTCTACGTTTTCCCTTTCTATTTGCCATGAAGTGATGGGACTGGATGCCATGATCTTAGAAATGAAACAAATGAACTTACTTACAAAACCAAAAGAGAGGTGCTTAGAGAAAGAACTTACTGCCAGGCGGAGGGGACAGTTAAGGAGTTTGGGGTGGACAAGGACACGCTTCCATATTTAAAATGGATAACCAGCACAGTGAACCCTGCCCAGCACTATATGCCAGCCTGGCTGGCAGGGGGTTTGGGGAGAATAGACATATGCGTATGTAAGGCTGAGTGCCTTCACTGTTCACTTGAAACTACCACAGGATTGTTAATCAGCTACACCCCAATACAAAATGTTCCTGGTGTTAAAAAAATAAAATAAAGTGCATCAGGGAACTTATTGGAGAAAGTGAGAGTGAATGGTATTGGTAAGAAAAAATGCCAGGCATTAGAGAAGAAGCAATCTTCCTGACGTCTCTCCCTGGAAGGCAAGGTGATTAGGAGGAAGCAGAGAAGGCAAGCTGGCAGACAGTGTGCTCCCCCAGACCCTCCAAGCCATGTAATTTCAACTTTGATCAGTATTAGATTTGATGGGAGCCTTCTGGGGTTTATATAAAATCACAGGTGAAGTTATGCATGGAATTCAGTAAGGAGGAGAAGGTCTCTGAGATTAGATACAAAGTTCATTTAAAAATCACGTCAAGGGACTTCCCTGGTGATCCAGCGGTTAAGAATCCACCCTCCGGTGCCAGGGCTGAGGGTCCGATCCTGGTCGGGGAGCTGAGGTTCCATTCGCCGTGGGTAACTGAGCCCACACGCCACATCTGGAGAGGACTGTGTGATGGACGGCGGAGCCCAGCACCCAGGTTCACGGAGCAGAACCCTCATGCTCAGCAGGAAGCCCTGACCCGCCGCTGCAGAAACCCGCGTGCACAGAGAAGACCCAGCGCCGCCACCGTCTTAGTAAATAAAAATGCAAACAGTTATGTCGAGAAAGGGACAGATTCCTGGGACGGATGGCTTTATTTCCCCCCCTGTCTTTTATCAGAAATGTCCCACAGAACAGTGGACAAGGGGCTGAATGGGATCCATCTCTTTCTATCGTTCACCTCTTTTCTCCAGGCATGTGAATAATTGCAGTTTATATTCTCATCCCAAGTCGTGCAAGCCTGCTTTCACTACAGTGTATTCAGTTTTGATCCCACATTTCTGTGAGGTAGGCAC